AAAAAAGCACACCATTCTTGACCTCTCCTCCTTTAATTAGTTTACTCTTTTTGGTAATTTCTTTTTGGGGATTAGTAACACGGTTAACAATCTGATAACAACGATATACCAACAAATCGTGGTCAAACTCAAAGTGCAAAACGGCCTCTTCATTTCCGTTTCGGCAATAAGAGTCTCGAAAAGCAGCCACCAGAATTTCTTGGATTTTTTCGGGCGAAATGCTTTCGCGCTGGGCTAACTTTTGGATAAATTGGTGAGTACTGTTTTCGGTCAAAATTTTTATATATGTTGTTAATAAATTAATATTAGTAATGATTTCCTAGGAAGATGCGGATGCCTTGAAAAAGAAATTGAAATTCGAAACCAACAAAAAGAAAATTAACCATTAAAATAGAATATATTCTGGTAGGATTTCTTAGCCAATTCCACTTGCCAAGAATATTAAAGCCAAAAAGTAATTGGTGGACAGAAGTCAAACTGTTCTTTCAAAAAAGTAGCATTTATTAAAAAATATTATGACAAACAATAGTACCAAAGGACAAGCGAGTCCTAGTGCCCATTTTTTTCATGTCTCCTTCCATCGGGCGGACAGTAAGTGATACGCCCTGGAAGTTCATGGAGAGAGAAGAGCCTCTTTTAATACCGAAGAGGAAGCCACTGAACAAGTTAGAGATTGAGTTGACGAGTTAGGAGCCGAAGGCAATTCTCATCTTTATATTCATGACATTCACGGGAAAATCCGCAAGGAAGAAAATCTTTAAGTGGGACTCAATCAAAAAAAAGGTGTTTGGTGGCTAAACCTAGTAACAGAATTAGCACCGAAGGTAGGGAACTAAAATAAGTTCCTTTACCGGATTTCTTGCTAGTCCAAACTAGAAAATTAAATAAGCGATTTGGTAAAAAGCAATAATTCAATCTAACTCAACAAGAAGAGCCTCTTGCTCTATTTAGACTGGCGAATGAATTGCTAAAAACATATAAAACATACAACAATACGCAATGAATGACATCCTAACAACCTGAACCAATCAAGCGTTAATTGAAGAACTTGAAAGAAGAGAAAGAAAAAAATTTTGTTGTGCGAAAGCCTTTCGCAGTTGACCCAAAGAAGGAAAAGAATCCAGAATAACCAAAGTATTTACTCGCGAAGACAAATTATTTATTCAACTAGCGGACGAGAGAGAAATAGGCATTCCCATATCCTGATGGGAAAAATGAGGAGTTAAAGACGTGACGGTGGAGAAATTACAAGAATATGAGATAGATTGAGGAGACGACGGGGTTTTTTTCCCGCAAATAGATGAAGGAATAGGGCGAGAAACATTTCTGCATGGTTTCTATGCTCCTTGTGAATAAATATTAAATAATTAATAAATATGCAAATATGCCAAATTGAAAAATTAAAGGATATAAATTTCGTTTCAATGTAGCAGAGGTTTTAGAAGAACATGAACCCGCTCATATTCATGTGACGACTAAGAGTGGTAAAATAGAGTTTTGATTAGAACGACCCAATCCTAATTATAACTTTCGCCGTTAGTAAGCAGAAAGATTGTGAAGATTAAAATTTAATTAACAACCATGAATGATTATTTAGTTTCAGTAGTGAAAAAAAGACATCGAGTTGGTCGTGGACCGGGCTCAGGTCATGGCAAGACTTGTAAACGAGGTCAAAAAGGTCAAAATTCACGTAAAAGTCCTCATAATTATTGAGGATTTGAGGGGGGGCAAACACGAGTTACGCTCCGTTTTCCCAAACGAGGTTTTGTGGGGAGAAAGTCCTTGAAATTGAAAAAAAAAGCCCCGAGGCAAGTTCGCTAAATTTTTATTAAAGGTTCTGTGATTTTTTTTAATAGGTAGAATTTTTGTTAAAAAATAACCTAAGAAAATATTTTGTTGATGAAGGAAAAAATAAATATTGCGATTGACGGACCGGCCGCTTCCGGAAAAACGACCGTAGGCAAAGAGTTGGCTCGTCGTTTGAATTATCAGTTTTTAGATAGTGGTTTGTTGTATCGTCATTTTGCTTACTTCTGGCAAGAATTTTGGGAAAAAAGCGGTCGCGACCAGGATTACAAGAGTAGGATAAATGAGGAAGAGATAAACGAATTAAGCCGTTTGTGACAAAAAAATTTCCTCAATAGATATCAGGAATTTTTTCACCAACTCGAATTTCTCCACCAACTCAAAAAGGATCAAAAAATCTTAAATTCGTCAGTCATTGGAAATTTGGCCTCACGATTGGCTCCCTTTCCCGAACTGCGAAGAATTACTCTCCGCTTTCAACGAAATCTGACTCAGGAAGGAGGGTGAGTGGTAGTTGGCCGTGATATAACCTCGAAAGTTTTACCCCACGCCGAAATAAAAATATTCTTGACTGCTAGTTTGGAATCCCGAGCACAAAGAAAATACCGCGAATGCAAAGGCAAAGTTGCTTTGGAAAAATGAAAGCGGGAATTATCAGAACGTGACGAGCGAGACAAAAATCGTTCTCTTTCCCCCCTAAAAAAAACGGCGGGCAGTTACGAAATAGACACTACCGATTTATCCCTAGCCGAAGTTATAAAAAAAATAAATCCACTACTTGACCCGTTCCCCACTCACTGCTTTTTGTTTTAAATAAATAAGTATTATCAGTTATTAAGTTAAAATAAGACTGTCTTATGGAAAATAAATCCTGAGAAGAAATTAAAAAAAAAGCCACTGAACTTTTAGAAAAAGAATTAGAAATTTTTGTGGGTAAATTAGAAAGAATTCGGAGTAATCAAATTTCTCTGGAAACGATTAGAGGATTAACTATTAGTTATCAGGGCGAGAAAAAGCCGCTAAAAACAATATCTAGTTTGCGTGTTTCCCCCAGCAACGAATTAATTATTCGTGTTTTTGAGCCTCAACTAACTTCCCTAATCGTTGAGCCAGTTAGAAAAATGGGTTACAAGTTAGAAGGAATTACCAAAAATGAAGCTTATTTTACTTTATTATCCAGCGGGGAATCTCGAGAAAAACTTATTCGGGATGTCAAAAGCATAACTGAGGAAGGGAAAGTGGCTTTCCGTCAAGTTCGCCAAGCCCTTCGGGAAAAGATATGGGGACTTAGCCCAAGGCAAAAGTGATAAGAGAGGAGAATTGAAAATTTCTGCTGACCAAAAACGGAAATACGAAATTGAAATGGAAAAACTAATCAAAGATTATCAGGAGAAATTAATCCGAGCCGAGGAAAAAAAAATTCGAGAACTGGGGAAAATCTAGGTGACCAAAACAGGTTCTCAACCAAATTCTATTGTTTCTATTTCACAACAATCAACACTTTCGCAGCAACTTACTTCGTAATCATTATACACGAGGATATGTTATAAAATTAAAATGTTAATAAGTTGTAAAATTTATTAATTTAATTTATTAACTTTCGGTGCTCGGAATCTCTTTTAAAATCGGCGAAGTCGATTTTTTGGCTGATTTTTGAGTTTTAATAAGCGTTACCAGTATTTTCTCCTTTCAGAAAAACAGCAGAGTTTGGAGGAAGAGGAGGAACGAGAGAATTATAATTATCAAGTAAGTTCAGTCCGGTTCTTTTTCTTTTATTATGATTTTTGGTTCAGCCACTCTAACTACTTTAATACTCGGAGTTAATTTTTTTTCTCCCTTGTGGTTGTTCGGTTTGTTTAATTTCTTTCTTATTTTTACAGTTTGTTTAGATTGTTTAGGACCACCCCGACGGATTTTTTTTGCCTTTATCCCTAAATTATTTAACTTTTTGGCAAAACTTTGGTTAGTTGGTTCCACTGCGGTTCGTTGCAAAAATTCTATTTTCTTCTCTATGTCAGCAATCTTGTCAACCAGACGAGAATTCCGACTCGCTACCGCATTTTTTCTAGTGATAAACGGGCTGTCTAACCACTCCTTTAATTTTCCCTTAATATCCTCTAATTCTTCATAATCATTACCTTCGCTGGTAAGAATTTGGTCTAATTCTTGAAAAGCATCATAATATTTTTGCAGTTCTTGACAAGCGTTTTCGATTAATGACTGGTTTTTCTGGTTGCTCCAAATTTCTTTTTGAATAACGCCGTCTTCGTCATTCGTAAATTGTTTGGGATTTAATGATTGTTGGAAAATTTTAATTTGAGAGGGGTCGTTAATGACTTGGTTTTGTCTATCTAGCAAATTATTAAGTTGGTTCTGCCAGTAAATTTTCTGCTGATTAATTTTTTCTTCATTCTGAACTTGTTCTTTTTC